TTAATCCACAACAAGCCATATCATAAACTAATTCACGTTTTAATATATCTAATACTCTTCGAACACCATCTTGTTCGCCACAAGCCAAACCATATAAAACTGGTCGACCGATCAAAACAGCTCGTGCACCTAATGCTAATGCTTTTAACACATCAGTTCCACTTCGAATACCAGTATCAACAAATACTAAATAAATAAAGAATCGTTTGGTGACTTTCGTAAGAAAAATTCGAAATTTCACTCCTATATACACTTTTCTCTTTTACATATCAAGTTGATGGTGAAAAAATTTTCTTAAATTTGAATTATATCGATTGTGCCAAAATATTTACAACATTTTCTATCTCGGCTTAGGTGAATGATAGAATCTTGATCTTTTTTTAAAAAAAGGCGCCACGAAATACTTCACAAACGTTGTATAAGCAGCAATCTCTACTGACACGCTCTAATGGTTTTTCTCATACTCAAAATGTACATCTTACATGATAGTACTACTTCCCATCGTGTCGAGCATAATAAAAATGTTTGGAAGATTTGTTTTAAAATTATTTTGCGTATGTCTAGGCGAAAGAAAATAATAACATCTTGCTTTTTTTAATGATAAACCGCCGAAAGCTCTATAAAAGCTGTATGAACAAATCTTTAGTGCGAAACAAAAAAATCTTCCATACATTTTTATTACGTACAATATGGTGAAAAGTAGCTCTATTATGTAGATTATACATTTGTCGTATGGAAAAAACCATTCGAACATGTCAGTATTGATTTGTTAATACAAGTTTTGTAGAGCTTCTTATAGTGCATCTTTAAAAAAATTAAAAGATCAAGATTTTATTATTTTTCTGTGCAAAGATATTCGCAAAATAAACTATTTTGGCATGTTCGGTATATCGTTTATTTGTTGTTAGTGATGATGAAGTAGTAAATTTTAATTTTGCAGCCCTTTTTGATGAAATAGAAATGCCATCGTTTATCGATTTGCGATTCAGTTTTTGTCATAAGATTTTTATCTAATGAGTTTGATACTTCAATAATAATTCCACCCTTGCACGTCAAAACATTACACATATAATATTATTTTCTTATTATCTCTGTTTAAACAAATACTTTATATAAGATTAGTTAATATAATTGTAATTAATGACTTTAGTTTGAGTAAAAGGATGTAAAAGCAATGTGTTTTTGTTGGTTGTTAGATCTTTGAGACACTGCGATAGTTCTCTTTTTCTTTGAAATCTTTTATTGGTTCAAAATATTGCTAACAGTCAAATATTAAAAAAAACAAAAATCAACTCCTGAAATGAGGAGATTTTCTGTCAGGAGTGTCCTGGTCAAATTAGAAGGTTTAGCAAGCTTGAGCTACTCCAACAATATAGAGAGTTTAACCAAATCAACAGCTTTTTAAAACAGAAGCAGATAGATAACTTTTCTCATCCTAACTATGTCGAGACGTTTTAAAAAACTTTATTCTGCCTAAGATTTGATATCTTAAGAAGACAGTTTAAAAATCTATTAGATTTTTTTCAATTGTCATTAAAACAAACTTACCTTCTGCACGTCCATCTACAGCATTGACGACATCTTCTAGACATTGAATAGCTGGTGGTGGTGTATCAATTAGTCGACCACCATAGTTACTAAAACCAATAATAGTAAAAGATATATTCAGTTAACTGATTATATACAAAGTAGATCTGACAATAATTCCATTTGCTCCATATTTAATTGCTAATTCTGCATCAATTGGTGAGAGTATACCTTTGCAAATAATTGGTAATTGTGTCAATTTTCTTAACCATTCAATATTTGCCCATGTTACTGAACCGGTACCAAAATGTTGCTTAACAATTATGTCAGGTATATTCAAGTTTGGTATTAACATATTCTTCATTAATTCTGGATCAATATTCTTTTATGCTTCTTCAAATAATGGTAATACAAAATCTCGAATACGTTCATGTGGTTGATCACATGTAATGACAATTGCTCGATATCCTTCTTTATCAGCTTGTGGAACTATTTGTTCTAAGATTTCTATAGGTGTTGTTAAATAAATATGTAAAAATTTTGGACCTAAGATAATTAAGTACATTGAAGAGAAAATGAGATAGAAAAGAAAAAAAAGGATATACCGAGTGTTTGTAGAACTTTTTCTTCTGGCACATTTGAAAACGTCCAATTGTAAGTAAAAATACATTGAGTTTCAGTTGCAGCACGAACTGTGGCAACTTCACCATCAACATGAGCAAGACAATGACAAGCGGATGCAGCAATTAGGATTGGTGATTCATATATCGATCTTTAATAAATGTTGACAAATGCATTTTGAGTTCATAGTGACGAAGCAAAAACTAGAAAAAATCTTCTCAATGGGTAAAATCTGTCTCTATAGGAGTATCGTAGCTTTTTATATTTCAATAATTTCTCACCCAAGTATACTTGTTTTTAATGAAATTTCACTAACATCCATCAAAACTCTTGGCATAATTCTTAATTGTTTATCAAAATAATGTCTACATGCTTGATATGTATGTCCTTGACCAGCTTTGTAGTCATAATAATAAAAACGATGTGGCATCATTGATTTCTTAGCTAATTCTTCGAAATCAAATAATGTTTTACTTTTTAAATATTCATTTTTCTATATCAATAATGAGAATCAATGAATAGTTAAATAAATGAACATACCCGTTTCTCATTTTGTTTTTTTCTTTTTCTTTGTTGAAAATAATTTAGAAGAATTACAATACTTATCAACGTTGTACCGAAACATAAAATATATAATTGACTGTCTGAAAAATTAAAAGTTAAATTTCTAATTAAATTGATGAGCATGCTTACTTTTCATTGATTAAAAAAATGCTCTATGTCACTTAAAAAATATCGTTAATTCAATGTGAAAATCTTCAAGTAGGATAAAAAACTGGAAAAAAAATATGTATAAGATCATATAGAAATTTTTCCAATTCGATTTCTTAATAATAGATGAATATATTTGCTAATAAATTCAATTTATTTTACTCTTATGAGAGAACTTAGATAATCTTTTTAATTTGTATCTGTGAATTTTGAATTCGAATATTTTCATCTTTAGTAAAAACAGATTGTTTTGTGTTGATAAGCATTACGAAGAATGAAAAAAAAATAAACGAATAGATAAGATGCCGTTGAAGCACGTTAGAATATGATGTTACACAAAAAAAGATAACAAAAAATTGTATTTCTAATGAATATCTCAAAGGTCATAAAAAAAGAAAGAAATGACTCATCATAGTGTCTGTTTCAAAACGATACAATGACGGATCTAGAATTTTGGAAGAGTGAGAGCACTTTTTCGAAGGACATGCGGACATAAAGCAGCGGACAAAAGTTAAAATTCAACGTATTTTAGATTTTTTTCTATAATGTTAAGCATCTAACTCAAATCCAGATAGTGATTTTAATAGCCAATGAAGTTTTCTATCTCAAATATTCAAAGGTGGGCTATGATGACACGGTTTCTAAAAACCTGGACACGGTCTTTTTCAGGTCACAGAAGACTTTATTGGAGCTGTTTTTAAACAATACCACCGAGTGTGAGTGGGTGAGGTGCGGAGGTGTGAGGTACGGGTATGGTTGTGGGTATGGGTTATTTATATCATAGCTATCCTATTCTTCACACGCTCGCATCAAAAAAAGTTTCGTGCTTAAATTTTCGACGGCATTCAAAAGGTACGTTGTTAGCTCTATTTATAAATCGCTATACTCATATACTTTGTAAAAAAAAATCCCTTCTCTGAAAAACCCGAACAGGATTTCCAAGGTCGCAGGAATCGATATAACTTCTCACAGCATGTTCTCGGGTACCGGTCTCGCTAACCAATACAAGATTTTTCAGCTCACGATAGCACCAACGTAATGAGAGAAGGCCTCTCTCCAGCAAAAGAACGCATTTCGAGGGTGTAGATGTTCTACCTTCGGCGACACCCACCCACATCTACACCCTATACTTGTGTTATTTTGAGAACAATAACTTTGAATGTACTATAGGTGATATGGAACAAGATGAAGAATTAGCGGAAAGAGTAGTAGAAATTCAAGATGTACTATATCCGAAAATTGAATTTCGCGTTAGGTTTATATGATTGATTTCATTTGATTAGGGTGTGGGTGTGGGTGAGTGAGTGGGTGTAGATAGCTATACAAGAGTTACCCACACTCCACACCCACACCCACCCACACCCCGCACCAAATGAGTTTTCGGAAAAACAAATTGCCTTTCCGCGCTAGAAACATTTCCGGAAGGCCAAAATGAATTTCCGAAAAATACACTTTCCGTTTCCCAAAATAGAAAACTCGACCCAAGAAAAATCGACTTCCGAAAACACAAAGATCATAGCGCGGAAACGCAGAATAAGGTTTCCAACAACATTGTTGACTGTCGATGTGGGTGCCGGTGCAGGTGCGCCAAGGTGTGGGTGGCTCAAAACGACTCTCACACGTCTGTCAAGCTGCGCATCCCACAAAACGACTCACGTGTCTTCCCAAGCTGTGAGTGTTACGAAAGAACGGATCGCGGAAGCACAATTCATGAAACGATAGGCCGCGAAACGACTCGTCGAGAAAGGACTGAGAACAATACGACACATGTCATATCGCAGCTGCTGCGGGTGCCGCCAAAGGACTGGCCGCGAAAGAACTGAGAACAATAGGACACATATCACATCGCACTTGCTGTAGGTGTCACGAAAGGAGTGGTCAGGAAATGATTGGTCGTGAAAGTATTGGGAACAATAGAAGACACGTTACCTCGGGACTCTGAGGGTTTCATGATTGGAGTACTCGGTAAGTGGTCTACAAGGTTGCAGCTGATCTGTGTATGGGAAGAATGATGAGATGGTTTACAACAGTTAGAAAGGGCACCTGAGCATGTGTGCATGCTATGGGTGCTGTGTAAAGTCCACGAGAGCGTCCTGGTAGTTGAGTATCGGGTTGTCTTGTCAGACATTGGTCAGAGATGTTTTCACATACGTATCATATTTGGAGTTGTGTTGTGAAAGTAGTTGTAGCGCGTGAGGATGGTTTAGTTGAACTGTTGTGATGTTGGCCATACCCTAGTGGCTTTGAAAAGAGGAACCCGATTCAGAAAATCTAGAAAGATTAGAGCTGATGTAGCTCTCATGGAATTACATGATAAATGTGGCAAATGAATTATGGGGTGCTTTGTTTTTGTTTTGTTTTCAATTCATTGGATGTAGAGTTGTTTTGGAGACAAATTCTTACATTTTCTGGGGTAAGTGGTTTTCTGGAAAATATATGGAGGAATTTTTCTTTAACAGATTTGTAGTCTTACCTATATTTAATATTGAGAGATTATTTTTGGAATCATGGATAGATGCGTCTGCTTTATAGTAGCCCTAGCATCAAATAATACGAACTCTGCACCTCCTGTACCCTCTGATACCTCGTATTCCTGTTATATGATGCTTTGTGAGAGTTTTCCCGGAAACTCATTTAAATATCGACGGAAAAGGTATGGAAGATTTAGAAATATAGGGTATACAGGGATATAGAAGATATGGGGTAACTAGTGCAGATAATCCGTAAATAGCGCTTGACTTTTAATAGTGTTCTATTCTGATATATTCATGCAACTTATCGATGGTTGCTCGAAGAAATAATCAAAATAAATAAATAACTGTTTACTATATCTCCTATATCTCTGGGGTTCCGGAATTTCGCCAATAAGACTTTCGCCAATAGGACTTTCGCCATTGGAGAAAGTCCATTGTACTTTCGCCAATACACTTCATGGAATTTCGCCAATACATTCCCTAGAACTTCGTTAATGTGTGAAAGGCCACTGTACTTTCGTCAATATATCCCCAGGACTTTCGCTATTGATGAATGTCTTATTGATAAAAGTCTTATTGACGAACATCCCGCCACCCATATCTCTATATCTCCTTCATATCCTACATCTTCTTTATCTACTGTACCTTCTGCGTCGGTATTGAATTCAGTTTTTGAGGAAACTCTCCGAAGACATGTAATCACGTCTGCGTTGATGTGGATGCTGTGAAAAGTGGAGGTCTATTCGGAGAATTGTAGAAGTATTGTTTGGAAGTTCAAATGTTATCGTGAAAAGTGGACTCTGATTGCACGGAAAATGGTTTACACCACTTTAATGGTTATTACTTCGCTGTGGAGTTTTGCTTATAGTTTTGGAGGATCTGTTCGAGACATGTGATAGGTTATTTTCGAGGATTTAAAAGGAGTTTCCTGGAAATTCAATTCATGCCCATTATGTCCATTATGTCATTATGCCCTGTTCCAAATAAAGTCCACAAAAAAACAGAGTTTCTTGAAAATTAATAGAATGTATCAAATCGCATATTGAGCTAGCAGAAAATAAAGTTTTCAATTCTGATCTCAAAGAAGACTGATATTATTTGTAATTTTTTCCTTTAGATGTTTATAATATCTTTAGAAAGAAGAAAACAATCAAAGCACAGATAACAGTGTTGTTTTTTAGTTCTTATCAGGAAGAAAAATGGTTCTTTTTAAATCGCCGAAGAGCAGCAATACAATGCACTACGACACTGAATAACCTTATCATTTTTTTCTTTACAACACAATTTTCTTTTGCGACTACTGAAATTCGATACTAAACGTTGACAAACAAAAGTACATTTGATGTTGTAAAAAAGTCAAGAAAAACGACTCTTATCGAATCAACAGAAAAATAATATTTCAGACTGAATTTCAAACGACTTCTCTCCATTGTTGGTTAATTACAAAGTGGCAAATAAATTCAAAATGGATGGGCAAAAGCAGAATGAAATGCTTTCTACATCCATAGCGGATGCCGTAACAACTGCAACGACATTATCGTGTGTTATGGAACCAACACAATGCATGACTGAAGGCTATGTAATTATCTGGATCGACGAGAACATCCACTCAAACAATGAAAAATGTGAAAATACACTAACACAGCTAGAACAGGTGACCGATCAAGTATATATTTTCACCACAACCGATGAAGGTATAGATTTTCTCACTGGCATCAATGATCAAAAGGCATTTCTCATTCTGTCAAATCCTAAAGATCAAGACATGATACCTATCGTAGATGATATTCCTCATCTTCTGAGTATTTATATTTTCTGCAGCACAGAATCCCTAATCCATGATTGGAAAAAGAATTCCAGCAAAATTAAAGGTATGCACACAGATATCAACCGTCTCTGTGAAGCACTACTAGATGCCATCAAACGATGTTACAAAAACGATATCTCTATGAGCTTTGTCAGTATCGGCGAAGATAGTTTAATAATTAATCCGGATCAAATAGAACCCTCATTTATGTACACACAGCTATTTAAAGAAATTACACTTGAAGTCAATCACACACAAGAAGAAATTACAGATTTTATTCAATTTTGGCGGGAAAAATCTAACAAAAATAAGACAACATCGGATACTATCAACGAGTTTGAGAAGAATTACAGACCTGAGACGTCAATTTCCTGGTATATTCGTGACTCTTTCATCTACCAGACCGTTAATCAATCACTTCGAACATTGGATACTCTAACAATGAAGAAAATGAGTTTTTTCATTCGAGATCTTCACTGCCAACTCGAACAATTACACAAAGAACAGTCTACAAAAACAGACAATGGACCTTTTACCGTATACCGAGGACAAGGATTATCCAAAGCTGATTTTCAGAAACTTAAAAGAACCAATGGTTGTCTCCTCTCGTTTAACAACTTTTTATCCACCAGCCGAGATCAAGAAGTTTCCCTAACATTCGCCGAAAGTAACACATTAGACGCTAACTTAGTCGGTATACTTTTCATAATGAGTATCACACCTTCAATTTCAAGAACTCCATTCGCTAACATCCAAACAATGAGCTCGTTTCAGGACGAAGAAGAAATCCTCTTTTCTATGCACACGACTTTTCGTGTCCACGAAATCAAACAGATGCTCAACAATTCCAACCTATACGAAGTACAACTCATTCTCACCAACGACGATGATCCACAACTATCTCTTCTCACACAATCTATACGGTTGGCAATCGACGGAAACGGCTGGGAGCGTATGGTTCAATTGATGATCATGCTCCACCACAACAAAACAGCCGAGGAAATTTGCGATCACCTACTAGCCACATCTTCCACCAACATAGAGCGAGCGAATGCTCTAAATAGCCAAGGATTAATCGAAGACCAACGAGGCGACTACCCAAAAGCACTTTCATCATACGAACGATCACTTGAAATCTTCAAAATAGCTCTCCCTCCGAATCACCCCTCCTTGGCTACTTCCTACAACAACATCGCTATGATGTATGATAACATGGGAGAGCACTCAAAAGCACTTTCATCGTTAGAAAGATCACTTGAAATCCGAAAAGTAGCTCTCCCTCCTAATCATCCCTCCTTCGCTACTTCCTACAATAACATCGCCACGGTGTATGATAACCTGGGCGAGTACTCGAAAGCACTTTCATGGTACGAAAAATCACTTGAAATCCAAAAAATAGCTTCCCATCAAAATCATCCCTCCTTGGCTACTTCCTACAACAACATCGCTATGATGTATGATAAAATGGGTGACTACTCGAAAGCACTTTCATCGCACGAAAGATCACTTGAAATACGAAAAATAGCTCTCCCTCCGAATCATCCCGACTTTGCTCAATCCTACAATAACATCGCTTCAGTGTATGATAACATGGCCGAGTACTCGAAAGCACTTTCATCGTACGAAAGATCACTTGAAATAAAGAAAATAGCTCTCCCTCCGAACCATCCCGATTTGGCTAGTTCCTACAACAACATCGGTATGGTGTATTCTCACATGGGCGAGTACTCGAAAGCACTTTCATCGTATGAAAGATCACTTGAAACCCGAAAAATAGCTCTCACTCCGAATCATCCCGACTTGGCTACTTCCTACAACAACATCGCTATGGTGTATGTTAACATGGGCGAGTACTCGAAAGCACTTTCATCGTTAGAAAGACCACTTGAAATCCGAAAAGTAGCTCTCCCTCCGAATCATCCCGATCTGGCTCGTTCCTACAACAACATCGCTTCAGTGTATTCTCACATGGGCGAGTACTCGAAAGCACTTTCATCATACGAAAGATCACTTGAAATCCTCAAAATAGCTCTCCCTTCGAATCATCCAGATTTGGCTTCTTCCTACAACAACATCGCTTCAGTGTATTCTTACATGGGCGAGTACTCGAAAGCACTTTCATCGTACGAAAGATCACTTGAAATCCTCAAAATAGCTCTCCCTCCAAATCATCCCGACTTTGCCCAATCCTACAACAACATCGGCACGGGGTATTCCCAAATGGGTGACTACTCGAAAGCACTTTCATCGCACGAAAGATCACTTGAAATACGAAAAATAGCTCTCCCTCCGAATCATCCCGATTTGGCTACTTCCTACAACAGCATCGGTATGGTGTATTCTCACATGGGCGAGTACTCGAAAGCACTTTCATCATACGAAAGATCACTTGAAATCCGAAAAATAGCTCTCCCATCGAATCATCCCGATTTGGCTACTTCCTACAACAATATCGCTTCAGTGTATGATAAAATGGGCGAGTACTCGAAAGCACTTTCATCATACGAAAGATCACTTGAAATCCTCAAAATAGCTCTCCCTTCGAATCATCCCGATTTGGCTTCTTCCTACAACAACATTGGTATGGTGTATTTTCACATGGGCGAGTACTCGAAAGCACTTTCATCGTTAGAAAGATCACTTGAAATCCGAAAAATAGCTCTCCCTGCGAATCATCCCGACTTGGCTACTTCCTACAACAACATCGGTATGGTGTATTCTCAAATGGGTGACTACTCGAAAGCACTTTCATCGCACGAAAGATCACTTGAAATACGAAAAATAGCTCTCCCTCCGAATCATCCCGACTTTGCTCAATCCTACAACAACATCGCTTCAGTGTATTCTCACATAGGCGAGTACTCGAAAGCACTTTCATCATACGAAAGATCACTTGAAATCCTCAAAATAGCTCTCCCTCCGAATCATCTTGACTTGGCTACTTCCTACAACAACGTCGCTATGATGTATGATAAGATGGGCGAGTACTCGAAAGCACTTTCATCGTCAGAAAGATCACTTGAAATCCTCAAAATAGCTCTCCCTTCGAGTCATCCCGATTTGGCTACTTCCTACAACAATATCGCTTCAGTGTATGATAAGATGGGCGAGTACTCGAAAGCACTTTCATGGTACGAAAGATCAGTTGAAATCCGAAAAATGGCTCTCTCTCCGAATCATCCAGACTTGGCTCAATCCTACAACAACATCGCTTCAGTGTATTCTCAAATGGGCGAGTACTCGAAAGCACTTTCATGGTACGAACGATCAGTTGAAATCCTCAAAATAGCTCTCCCTCCGAATCATCCCGATTTGGCTACTTTCCACAATAACATCGGTATGGTGTACTCTCACATGCGCGAGTACTCGAAAGCACTTTCATCGTTAGAAAGATCACTTGAAATCCTCAAAATGGCTCTCCCTTCGAATCATCCCTCCTTGGCTACTTCCTACAACAACATCGCTTCAGTGTATGATAGGATGGGCGAGTACTCGAACGCGCTTTCATCGTACGGAAGATCCCTTGAAATCCGGAAAATAGCTCTCCCTCCGAATCATCCCTCCTTGGCTACTTCCTACAATAACATCGGTATGGTGTATGATAACATGGGCGAGTACTCGAAAGCACTTTCATCGTACGAAAGATCACTTGAAATCCGAAAAGTAGCTCTCCCTCCGAATCATCCCGACTTGGCTAGTTCCTTCAATAACATCGCTTCAGTGTATGATAACATGGGCGAGTACTCGAAAGCGCTTTCATCGTATGAAAGATCACTTGAAATCCGAAAAATAGCTCTCCCTGCGAATCATCCCGACTTTGCTCAATCCTACAACAACATCGGTATGGTGTATTCTCACATAGGCGAGTACTCGAAAGCGCTTTCATCATACGAAAGATCACTTGAAATCCTCAAAATAGCTCTCCCTCCGAATCATCTTCACTTGGCTACTTCCTACAACAACGTCGCTATGATGTATGATAAGATGGGCGAGTACTCGAAAGCACTTTCATGGTACGAAAGATCAGTTGAAATCCGAAAAATGGCTCTCTCTCCGAATCATCCCGACTTGGCTACTTCCTACAACAACATCGCTTCAGTGTATTCTCAAATGGGCGAGTACTCGAAAGCACTTTCATCGTACGAACGATCAGTTGAAATCCTCAAAATAGCTCTCCCTCCGAATCATGCCGATTTGGCTACTTTCCACAATAACATCGCTTCAGTGTATGATAACATGGGCGAGTACTCGAAAGCACTTTCATCGTTAGAAAGATCACTTGAAATCCGAAAAGTAGCTCTCCCTCCGAATCATCC